TCAAAACAGCTGTTGTAGCACAAAAGTGGCCACACACAATATATACATGAATGAGTGTGGCTATTTTCCAAAAATTCTTATTTATGGACACTGAAATTTGAATTTTGTATAATTCAAAAAATATTCTTCTTTTGTTTTCTTAAAATGTAAAATTCATTTTTAGCTCTCAAGCTGTTCAAAATCAGGCAGCAGGCCAGATTTGGCCCATGGGCTATAGTGTGCCATCCACTGGTCCAGGTTATAATAGATCGAAGATAATTGCCTTAAATATGTACAAATACAATTCCTGTAAGTCTGCATAGATGGGAGAGATCTCTTTTAGTTGGAAACTTCATGAGGGAGGTATCATTTGAATTGGTTTGAAGGATGGAATCATAAATTTTTTATTTTAAAATTTGTCTTACATTTACATTCACTTATTTGATATCCACATTAAGCTTATTCATAGCAAAATTTTAAATCCATGTGACATATAACATTGAACAGATTATTATATTTTGCATGCTGTGTGTATTTTTTATTGTGGTAAGAAATACTTAACATGAGACCTACCCTCTTAACAAAATTTTAAGCACTCAATACAGTATTGTTAAGTATAGACACAATGTTGTGTTGCAGATATCTAGAACTTACTGGTCTGGCTTGTAAAATTGAAACTTATACACATTGACTAGTAGCTCCCATTTGCTCCTCTCCCATTCCACTTTCTATTTCTATGAGCTTGACTATTTTAGATATCTCATTGAAGCAGAATCATGCAGTATTTGTCCTGCTATGATTGGCTTATTTCCCTTAGCACAGTGTCCTCCAGGTTTAACCTTGTTGTCACATGCAAAATAATTGAAATCAAGATCTCAAACAGATGTCTGCACTCCTACCTTCCTTGAAGCATTATTCTTAGTAGCCAAAATGTGGAAACAGCCTAAATGTCCATTGATGAATGTGTTAAAAAATGTGGCATGTACATACCATGGAACATCAATCAGCCCTAAAAATTGAGGGAATCTTACCATATGGAGAATGGGATTTTAGTAGATAGGGTGAAGATCCACACTGGGGCACTTTTGAGAGTCAAAGGGCTCATTGTTAATGGTTACATCAGGACAAACTGTTAACCCTGGCTGTTCCATAGAAACTGAGACATATGGTTATTCCAGAGGAAGAGTCTGAAGGGGCCATGAGTAGAGAACCCTGAGTGTGGTCAAGGGAGCGTTCATGGTGTACTCAATGAATAAAAAGTCCAAGTAGGTTGAAGTACATTGAGAAGAATAGAGGGAGATGAAGCTAGGAAGATAGTCTGGCACTTAACCGTAGGATTGAATTTGTAGGTTCTTAAACATAAAGCTAAGACATTTGGAAATTTTTCAATAGGTGGTAGAGAGGCACAGCAGTTTTTAAACAATGAAGTGATATCATAAATCAGTGCTATCTGTGATGTGCAGAATGCTATGTTTTAGGCAGAGACTCCATGCTATAGCCCAATTCAGAGACCATGGCAGTAGTTTGAGGAGAAGATAAGAGGATCTGGACTGAGCCCACGCAGTAAGAATAGAAAGGGAGACACATCAGAGAGAAGGAGCCAAGAGTACTTGTCAATTGAATATGAAAGAGAACCTAATAAAAAGGGAAAGTCAAAGGAAGCTCCCAAGATTTTATGTTGAGGTGACTATAGGCATTCTATATTTGTGGGTTAGAGTGAGGTGGGGAAGGGAGGTGTGCAAATCTATATATATAAAAGCCAAGCAACTGAACAGTGGAACAACCAGAACGACCAGAATGACTGGTGGCTATAATGTACACTATAGCAGCCAAAGGCCCAATCAGGGGTGGGGCTGGCCAGCCAACTGCCCATGGCCCCTCCCCCTGCCAGCCCCATTCCTGACAGCCCTCTCCCCCACCCCAATCACTGAAGTGTGACCTTCAGTGATTCTAAGTAAGTAAATGCTCCCCAGTCTTCATAGACCAGGAACCTGAATGATGAGTGATCAGGAGGAAAACTGCTCATGGTCTGGACCATCAGTCAGGTGTCCAGGAGAGGTACCCAACACAACCACCATCTTCCTGCGTTCTCTCTCCACTGATTCCTACCAAAGAGGGCAGCACATCATACCACGGCCTCTCTTTAGAGGGTTTGTCTGCAGGGAACTAAACCGCATTACCTGTCTAGGGAGAGGCTTAGAAACGGAAGCTGTAAGTGTCCCTGACACTAAAGCGCCTTTGAAGCTTCAACTCATCCAAAAGCCAACAGCAAATGTGTATACACCCTGCAAAGATCTTTGATGCTAATAACTCCCCCTGGCCGGCCCTACCCAGATTGGGGGCAGGCCAGCTGGACCCCACCAGTGCACGAATTCGTGCACCGTGCCTCTAGTGCATATATAATTGGGATCCTATTCTTATTGTAGTTTGGAAAAATAAATATAAGGTAGTAATGGTACTTCTGTAGTTTCACTTTGAAAATACTTTTATGTCAGGGTAGCTTAATCTGAATAAAGTTTTAATAGTTTCCTGATAAATTTGAGTGTGAGTAGCTTTTAAAAAAAATGGACTTTGATTTGGAGAGAGGGAGGGGAAGAGGCTTAGGGGCATATTTCTCTACAAGTTATCCTTTCTGGGACCCAGTGGGATGCAACCCATTTTTAGTTTGGAACAATGGTTCTTAGTGCTTGCTATGAAAGTATAAATGAATCTACCCAAGGAAATGGCACAGCAATGACAAGCCTCTAGCCAGAATATGATTCAGAAATATTTCAACCAGGTGCTGGTATCACTCAAATTGCCTCAATAGCTGTCTTGAGAGACTTAAAAATTTAACCAAATTAAATCCTTGCCTTTTAAAAATAACTCAGTTCTTGCAGAACATATAGGGTTGTTACAGATGCCCTGAAATCAAAAGAAAGGAAAAGTGATAAGATGCTACAAATTCTAAAAACTTGAATTAAGCTTCTGCTATGTTCCTGACTCACAAATGCGCCTAAGCTATATTTTACATTTTGTTCAAATTCAGTTTTCTAAGTAGTATTTTTTTTCTGGAAGGAATATGTCTGTAGAAAGGGGGAGAAACAGATGAATTAGTAGAGAAAATGGCAGGTAATTGTCGTTATCTGAAAACGCACACCTATTTTTAAAAGGAAATTTTAAAAATAACAAAGGGAATCAAATCATAAGAAGAACAAATTAAAAATACAGTAGTAGTCTATCTAGAAAAACTTGCCTGCTTTTTGAGACTCTTGAATTTTTTTAATTTATAATTTCACTCTTCAACATTTTTCTTTGCTTAAATAAAATAAAATAAAATAAACCAGTCTGGCCTTGGGGTATGGTCTGCTATTTTTCTAAACCATTGTACCAGAAGAGAAAAGCAGACTTGAATATATTATCCTCCTGGGTCCCAGAATAGAATCTCAAACACCTCAAGGTGTGAATTATTGAGAGATGCTGTTCCACCGTTGTGAGAGACTGCTGGGAGGAACGAGTGTATGGGCACCCAGTCCCTGGTGCTGCAGTGCATCCTTGGTACCAAAAAGAAATAGAAATGTAGTGTAATACCGCATATGGAGCCATTACTTCAACTGATGCCCATTCCTCAGTGCCAGTAGCCGGGAGTATGGGTTTTACTTTTCATCAGAGCTCTGCTGCTTTCCTTGTGTTCTATCTTTTGAAGTTGGCAGTTTCTTTTATTTACCTCCCTAGTATATATGTTTATTTCTCCCTGTGCTTAATTCATAACATTACACATATATAACATTATACTACTATGTAACACTAGGTCATTATAAGTATCCATTACAGTATATGTTACATATTATGTAAATATACAGATATCAACATATAGCTATATATCCTGGCTGGTGCTTCTGATCTCCTCCCTTTCTCCCTCTTCCTGGTAGTTATGATTACACACAAGGGCTTTGACAACTCGAAGACTTCTAATTAAAGCACTGAAGTGTTCCAGTTTCCTCTCCTTTAGTCCCTCACCTGCAGGCATTTCTTATTAAGTGTCGTGCTATTTAACAACTGCTCTGACAGAATGAGAACCTGATCTTGAGTAGGATGTGTCAGAACGCATTTGAACAGTGAGAGATACTCTTCTCATCCTCATGCAGATGTTTGCTTCCTTTTCCTTTTTATTGAATTTATTGGGGTGACACTGCTCAACAAAATTATACAAGTTTCAGGTGCACAAGTCTACAACACATCATTGGTACACCGTATTGTGTGTTCACCACCTCAAGTCAAATCTCCGTCTATCACCATTTATCCCCCCCATATCCTCTTCCACCTCCCACCACCTCCCTTCCCCTTACCATACCCGTGTTATCTGTGTCCATGATTTTTTTCTCTTTTCCTTTGTCCCTCCACCAACCCCTCATTCTAGATCCTCCCAACAGCTGTCAGCCTGCTGTCTATCTATGGGTCTGTCTCTATTTTGCTTGTTAGTTCATTTTGTTCATTAGATTCCACATATGAGTGAAATAATATGGTACTTGTCTTTCTCTGATTGGCTTATTCCACTTCGCCCAATGCTCTCCAGATCCATCCATGCTGTACCAAAGGGTAAGATTTCTTTTTTTAATGGCAGAGTAGTGTTCTATTGTATAATAGCGTATTCTATTGTGTAGTAGTATTCCACAGTTTTTTTATTCACTCCTCTACTTGGGCTGCTTCCAAATCTTGGCTTATGAAAAGAACAGATTTTTACTTTCACCAGTTGTTAACTAAAGAAAATCAGAACTCTGTTTTCTTCTTTTTATTATTCTTCTTATAATTTTAAAATCCTAGTGAATTTTAAAATCCTTGGGTTAGATTTAAACAAATGATAGTTTGTGTCATGGGTAACTTTCTCTGTTGCGAGGTGGGAGGGATGTGTGTGGAGTTTTAGATATGTCTAATTTAAATCTTTAAAGAAATCTGTAATCATATTAACATAAAGACTGAATTAAAAAGTTTTGGCATTAGAGACCCAGATATTTGCCTGCCTCTGTAGCTACCTCTCTCTCATGGACCTTAGGTAAGTCAACTCACGTTACTCCCACAAACAACCTGATGGTAGTCTTAGAAAATTTACAATGAAAGCAGTAAATGTATACAGGGCTTTATCAATGTAAGGTATTACTGTATATGCTACTGCACAATTATTATTCATTATTATTACTGCTACCACCTGTACAAACAGTGTGTAACTTCCACCTGCCTGTGCTAAATGATTAGAGCATATCCATTTGCCCTGAAGATTAAGTTTTCGTTATGAAAATTCTCATGGGCAACTTTTAATCCTGTCAAATAGGTTGATTTTTTTCTTTGCCAATAGATTTTTCATTGTTTCAAATAGAGAATGGTTGTATTATTTCTCATTTTCAAGATATAGTTTTTACCTTCCAGACCACTCAGAAGCTGAACAAGCTATAATATTGGGAATAGGAAATACTTTAGTTGAAAACCTTGACTATCCCTGCTGGAATTTGGCTTGACTTGTGATCCCTAGCAAATCACTGCATCTCTGAGCCACATTTTCTCTAAACCTAATTTGATGATATCTAGCCTATAGGATAGCTGGGAAAATTATAGTTTTGATCATTAGAAAGTTACAACTCTACTTCCCTTAGAAAGTTTATGTAGCTAGTCCTTTATTTAATTAATATTACCTTTAAAATATGTCTATAGAAAGAAAATAAAGAAAGGGAGGAATGGAAATAGTTGAATATATATACCATGTGTTGGGGAGGCATGAAGATGAAAATCATAAAATTAAATAGTGTAAATTACAATTTCAAATAAAAACATTATTACTCGGTGTTGGTGTACTCTCATCCCTAAAAACATTTTACAAATAAAAACCAAGAAAGAATAAATACTAAGAATTCTGGGAGAGTTTCTTTCATCATGGAATTATGACCCCTTTCTTGCTTCTGTAGTCTTTAATTGCAGAAACACATGTGACCCACCTTTTAGAATTATTGGATATCAAATGGCATATCATTATATTTTGTACAGTAAATAAGAAGTCATCTTGGACCCCTTTTAATTCTAATTTTTTTTGTCTTTAGGGGTTGTACAGATGTTCTGTGCTGCATGGTCTTCATACTGTTCATTACTGGCTACATTATTTTAGGACTTATAGGTGAGTAAATACAGGTATAAAATATATTAAACATTTGTTAATGGAATAACTAAGTCAGTGTCACACTTTTAACATTAATCAGTTTCTTCCCAAAGCATCTTATTATTGATTGTTGACTTTTCACCAGGACTCACTGGGTAGCAGATGTAATGAAAAATAAACACAAAGTAGTTTATTACAAGGAAAACTCAAATTAGTTAAGTAAATCCTATATAATAAAAGCCTAGTATGCAAATTGTCCCCTCAACCTGGAATTGTCTGGGAGATTGACCAGGGGGCGGGGCAGGCTGGGGGAAGGGAGGGAGGCTCCAGCCAGTGGTGGCAGCCACTAGGGGCCCTACCAGTGCACAAATTTTGTGCACTGGGCCTCCAGTACAATTACAAAGAAGGAAGGAAAAGCTTATGGTTTCTTTTTAATCATTTTTACTTTTGAAATTCTATTAAGCAGCTAATTATGTTCATGTTGCTATTTACTAAGAAGAACTAGGGCCTAGATAGTTTAGGTAATATATAAACTTTTTAATAAGAAAATTAAAAAGAAGGGGCATTTTTAAAGGATTTCCAAAATATAAGGGAATATACATAGGTTATATGCAAATATTACCCCATTTTATATATGGCATTTGAACATCAATGAATTTTGGTAAGCATAGGGGTCCAGCAAGCAATCCCTGTGGATATGGAGAGAAGACTGTGTATTATGATAATAGTAATAAAAAGGGGAGTTTGAAATGTAAAAATAAATTGATAAAGATATTTAATGTAATTTCAGTCTTCTTTCAAAGAGGGTTATTTTGTGATATGATGAAATCTAAACGCCATGTAGGGGAATAAAAAAGAAAAAAATATTTTATCTGATAATGCATAACATGTAAGAAGTTTTATTATCCTTGCCTACCAGAAAGAGATATCCTATTGTTTATTATTAGGTTAAAAATTTTTCTACGGAAGTGAAAATAAAGAGGAAAAATACAGAGTTTATTTAGATTTTTAAAACACTACCAAAGGGACTGGTATGAATATTTTCTGTAAAAAGGTTTTGCAATTGCCTGTGAATTTATCACATTTTCTCCCAGAGACTCTAAGTCCTTTATATGTTGATCTAGGAAACTTTAACATATTATTAATAGGATGGGAGCTATAAAAGTCAGATAACAGTATACATATAATAGTATAATCATATTCTAGTGTCAATAACTAGTGCCTGGACTTAATGTGGAATGTATTAGCAGAAAGAAGGCTTGGCCTGCCTAGGGAACAATGGAAAATACTCTTTCCTGCTTTTCAGTTTTATCTTCCAATAAGAGACATTTTTGAGAAAAGCAATTGAAAGTAATTTCCAGAAGATCATCTCGGTAATACCATGCAAAAACTACTTAGATTTGGAGAATTCAAAAGTAAGGCAGGAATATAAGGAGAAAAAGACTAAAGGAGCATAAATCACAAAACTAATAAACTCTAAGCCTTTAGAAGATTTCTTTGGTATTTCTTTAACCATTTTAAAGTCTAAACATCAATGTAGTTGTAGCACAATACATCATCCATAAATTAAATGTTATAATAAAATTAATTTTCTTATTCTACAACTAAAGGAATGTTAGCTTCTCTAACTTTGGGACACATCTTGTTTGTGTAATTTATTTTGTTTTTACTTTTTGTCATAGAATTGAAATTCATTGCATAAGAGTAGATTTGAAGTCAAGCAGATGTAGGGTTTCCTCCATTTATTTGGTAGAACTGGGCTAGTGTCTTAACCTCAGTTTTCTTATCTGTAAAATATAAAAACACTATCTACTTTGCAGGGCTATTGTGAGAAGTAAATGAAATAATATTCAGCTACACCAGTAATGCTACATAACAGTACTAGACAGTAGTTCGTTTCCTACTGTGTGGTTCTGAATTTTAATAAACTGCTTTAAAATGTAATGTACTCTATTATTTCTAAATAGCAACCCATAATTTGGGTTATTATAGTTTGAATGCATACAGGAACTTCATAAGGATCTTATACTGTGCCCAGAATCTTTTTATTAGGAGGCCTTATGGCTCTCCTCCATGTCTCAGAGACACTCTGTTATAATCCACAGAGAAATTCCTTTCGTCCTTACCTGGGGCTGGGAAAGCCACTGCCACTCCCTGTCCTGTGGAGACAGGAGAGGGAAGCACTGGGAGTGCTACCATTATTCCCCCTGGAGCGTGATAAGAAATTCGCCTTTTTCTTTAAGAACTCCATATCAGTTTGCAAATGCCTTAATCCACATGAAATTAGAGGATAAATGTTCCTCATGCAAAACTGGATTAATTTAGTGATTCTCCCAAATTAATCCTGAGGCCACTGATCAAAATGAACGGCTCACCAAATTTACTAAATATATATGCTATCTTTACCTGAACTATAATAGCTTTACTAGTTTGTTTCTAAGATAAATTTAACTCTTTGGTTATATCTAATACTGGGCTGAAAGAAGAATGAAGGAAAACAATTGGTAGAGTTACCAGGAATATGAAGAATTTTTTCACATAAAGGAACATGTACCTTTTCCTGAGGAAAGATGATGCTAAGACCGTGTCACTGATAGTATATAGTTTGGCATCTTTAGCCATTTTGTTGGGTCAGGACCTTTTTTAGGCCTGTCTTTCATCCATGTTTTGCAATTGGAGAGCTGTGTTTCTCACAAATTCTGCGGAAAAACTGATTTTGCCCTTATGTGGAATATGGCCAGCTAGCATGCAACAAAGGCACTTGACATTTGACTGATGAAAAACAGAGCCTCTATTCAAGTGGGGAAGTGGAGTGTGAGTAGAAGGTAATCAAATCTCCTTGAAAGATCAAACTAACATTTATGATAATAGCCCTCTTTTGTCCTACTTCACTGATGGTTGCTATTCAATTATTTGCTAACTAGAAAAAAAGAATAGGAATATTTCTTATGCAAATTGTTCCTTGCTATCCTTGTGCTAACATTATATATGCAATAATAGCACAATTTTAACAGTCAATAGTTTTTTTTTCTTTTCAAATGGATTTCCAATTGAATGAGTTATTTCCTTGTTGCATTTAATGAGAAAGCACTTGGAGTTAGGGTCTAAAGTTTGTTTTATTTTTAATTTTTCCTAGGAATAATTATTGCTCTTAGTTGAGACAATAGGAAGTTAACAAAAAAAGTAAATTAATGCAAACTAGATTAGAACTCTGTCATCATGCCAAGAGCAGCCCAAGCCACATGGAGAAGCCACCTGTAGGGGTCTTGGTCAGCAGGCTCACCGAGCTCCAAGGGATAATTGCCATCAGCCCCGTAGGGCTTTCGGATGATTGAAGCCCCAGTCAACATCTGACTGCATGAGAGACCCCAGGGGCCCAGCGGAGGCTGCCCCAAATGTCCGACTCCCCAAATCATGAGCAAAATAAAATTGTTGATGGGGTGTGATGGGTGCAGCAAGAATAGATAAACAGAACAACATTTAGTACCTGCGTAATAAGACCTAAAACATGGGTATGGTTTTGAAACCAGGTTCAGAAGCCAAATGGATTGTGAGGAGACTGTCATGAGAGTTTAAAGGAAAGTGAGGAAAACAACTGGAAACAGAAGGGAACGGAACCTTATTATATACTGGTGAAATATTTGGCACACTGTTGCCAATGGCAATATGGGAATAGGAAGTGTGCCCAATGGGTTCAGTGATCTATCTAAATAGATCAATCATCCTTAGGAGAGGAACCAACCCGTAGGAGCCTCATCTACACCTAGACCTGACTTAGGTGAGGTGATGAGACCTTGAGCCGGGCTCCACTGAGCTCCCAGGCATAATTACTAATTACTTTTATTAGAACAATAAATATAATGAAAAATCATGAAAAATTCATGCAAAAATCATTATATTTATAGGTAATGAGAACTAGTGTTAATGTCCTTTTGCTTTCTTTACAAGTATATAATTGTTTTCAAATTAAAATACATATTTACACTTCTTTTTGGTTTAGAAGTCTTCATTTTAAAAAGCAAGCACTTCGTTTTGACTGTTTTTTGAACATATTTCTTTGTGTTGAGTGAGATTTTTACTGTTGTATTTTGCTGAATACATGAATTCCAGATGATTTCAAGTGGAATATTGCTAGGATGAGAGTGACTGATTTGTGCTCAAGGACACGACCCCAAACTCACCATTGGGTGGAAGAGGCCACCTGTGAAATGATAAACAACATTTCTTATCCAGGCAACCGGATACAGGGTTGCTTCCAAAAGTGCTCCCACAGCATCAGTGTCATCAGCACAGATTTCCAAATTCGGTATCATGTGTCCTATTATCTGCTTCATTGCATTTGTAAATTGCTTGTGTTAAAAAGCCATAAGCACAATTTGGCGGGCCTGTTCCTCACATATTAAAACAGTTAAAATGTACCTTTAAGGGATACAAAATAATGATTTGAAAGCCAACATTCCCGGACGAACAAGTGGTTTGGGAATGCTTTAGCTGCCCCAAACAGATTTGCAGTTAATTTTTAAGTGTCAGTGCAAGCAGTTGGCCTACTCCCATTTTCTCCTCGACAGAGGGCTCTTTAACTGCTGCCACTTCTGACTCAACCTCAGAGCACAACAGGAACATGCTTTGCAAATGTTTGAAAATGAAAGATGATTCCAGATAAATTATACTTGCCCCTGGCACTGGAGTAACACACATTTCCTTAGTATGAGTGAAAGGACAATTTGCCTGAATGAAGTTTTTACCCATCTCTCACCAATCTTTTCTTATCTTCGATGAATTACCCAAACGGGAGTGTTTTACAAATAATTTATCTTCTCTCTTCTCTCTTCTCTCTTCTCTCTTCTCTCTTCTCTTTCTCTCTTCTCTCTTCCTCTCTCTCTCTCTCTCTCTCTCTCTCCCTCTCTCTCTCTCTCTCTCTCCCACACACACATATCCTCTTCACTTAAAGTGGTCTTTTAAAGTTATTCTTAAAACTTAGAAAGTTAAGGGGATAAGATGATCAGTCCTGATTGGTA